ATGGCTTTCATCCAATTTTTTACATATTGTCTGAATATAATTTATAGTGGGATAATTCAGAAACAGAGAAATATTCAATATTTGTTTGATTTCTAAGCCAGTGACTAAAATTCAGAAATAATAATCCTAAGCATATATACATTTTAAATAATTGCATTGAGAAAAAATATATGTATAATTACTATTATTTATACAGACATACATGTACATATTTTTCTCTACACAAACTTATATACTTACACATATACATATATATACATATATGCATACATCTAAAGAGTTGGACTTTAATCCTAAATTCAAATAAAAACATACTATTCAAGATAGTTAAAGTAAAATGCAAATAATTCCCATTTTAACATACTCATTATGCATCATGTTCATTCCCTTTATCTACTACCTAGTTGCTACTCTTGAAGAACTTTCTTCCATAGTTCTAGAAATCTGATTATCTTCTAGCTCCAGCTTGAATCTTCACAACTTCCACAATATATCTGAAAGATTTAGAAACAGTATAGCTAGGAACCAAAAAAAAAAAAAAAAAAAAGGCCAGAGAGATCTTGATTTCTGGATCCATTGTTGGTAAGTACATTTCATGTCACTTTGAACCTAGGCTTTGTAGTAATGTGAAACTATGACCCCATAGCTAGCTTCTTAATACTAGCTTCCCCGAGGAAGAAAAATAACCCAAATCTGGGTCTGAAAAATACCTTGACTACACCTGACAGTGGATAGCTTCACTTTAATTTCAGGTGTGCCCTGAAGGAAATTTTTTGAGAAGCAGTACATTAAGTAGTAAAAATTGTCATTAACTCTGAAGTGAAGATGGCCAGAGGTACAATTCCACAATGAACCATGGTTAGCCGCCAATGGTTTGACAGGAAAGGTCAAGTATTAGAAAAAAATACCAGAAAATTGGTAACAAAACATCTGAGGACAGATTTTGTGAATAGATTTTTACAAATGAGCATAGTAGAACATCTTTATGACCCATATAAATTCTCACTAAAGAATATTCAGCAGAGAAGCATCTTAATAATGTGGTGGAAAAAATGTCCCATGCTATAGCCACCAGTGTTTTTCCCCGTTAACCTGTGCTTTCACAGTAACTCAGACATAGAGTGACCATGGCAGAAAGGACAGAGACTATGGATATGCTCTACAGTGCAGACTTCCACTCACCAAAGGTAGTCTAGATACAGCCACTACTGAATGCCTGAATTGCCCACTGGGGGAAAGGAGATCTGCCAGCCACTAGTACCAGGTTGATTTCATGGAGTCATTTCCTGCATGGATTAGGCAGCACTTTGTTCTCACTTGAATATACACAACTTATATAGGCTTGCCCCTCTTCCTATAAATGTGTCGATACTATCATTCAGGGACTTGCAAAATGCCTCATTCAGCATAATGGCATCTCTCTCGTCCTGATTTTGAGCCACTCTGTGCAACAAATGAGTGCTACAATGGCTCCTGCTATGAGTGGCGCTGGTCTGCCCACATCTCTTATCACTGGTGGAACGCTGTAATGGCCTTTTGAAACGTTAGGAACAGTTAGGCCTTTCAGGATGTTGGGGAAATTCAAATAATGAACACATATGTGGCAAACTACCATAGATCCAGGGCTTACAGACTTAGAATTTAAGAACAGAATATGGGATAGTTTCTTGCAAAGCTACCTACAGCGCTCCACTAGAGAAATGTTTGTTGTACGTCCTGTCCGCACGACTTTAGGATTTACTAGTCTAGAAGATTTAGGCTTCCACTAGGTATCAAAGCAATAGTGCTATTGAAGGAGGTTGAGACTGGCACCCTGAGATGACTTTGTGACCCTCTGGAAAAACAGCTAGGATGTTTTTAGTTTTATGAAGGAAAGTTGAAAAATTTTAGGTAGAAGCATTATCTTCCTACTATCTTCATAAATAATGTGAGTATGACTAAGAAAGCTGATGCTGGGTTGACACAGGGTAGTAAAGAGAAGCCTCTAAGTTTCAATTCAGGTAAACCTAAACTACTTTTTCTGGTTATATTAGTTGGCTTTGCATCACTATAACAAAATAACTGAAGTAGCTAACTATAAAAATTTTGTTTAGTTTATAGCTGTGGACATTCAAAGTTCGATTTGGCAACTGAACTGGTTTGGCCTCTGGTGAGGGCAACAGATGACATGCTACTGCAGAAATTCTGAGAGAGAATGACAGAACACAATTCCTTCTAATGATACACCCCCCGATGTTTTAAGGATCTCACTCCAGGCCTCCTCATCTCCTAGAAGTTCAACCATCTACCAATAGTATCATCCTGGAAACAAAGCTTTTAACATACAGACTGACTCTGGGGGAATATTCAACAAAGCAATAGTACCAATATTCGTTTCCTTCTATTGTTTCAAATTGGAGTTGGTCACAAAAAAGAAAAAAAAAGCATGTTAGGGTGTTAGGGAAAGCAGATACGAAACAAAACATTACACTTTAAAAGTGAAGGTGGGGACAAGGGGAAAAAAAGAGAACCAAGACCTGTCATGTAAAGGCACAAAATCCCAGTAATGAATGTAACTACACTGTATACCTAGAATGCACCAATAAATTCAATTTTTAAAAAAGTGAGCTCAGAGTACAGAATATTTTTGTAGCTTATGTAATTTGTTGTGGTTCTTCTGGCTTGCTTCCAATAGAGCCTGGGCCAATATCGATATCAACTCCTATCAGTTCTTTTCCTTCAGCGTTTTAGACTCTAGGCCAAGTGAGTGTGTAGTTTCAAAGTGAAGAGCATCAATTCCCTCTGAAGGTCATCCAAGAACCTCAGAGACAGTGACAAACAGATGATGTTCCAATTTGAAATTGTGATTTCAGTATATCCTGCCCAATTTGTTGGACCTGGCTCTCGCCTACTTCACATGCAGCCCTCTTCTACTACTCGGTACCAGACACAATGGCAATTGCCTTGTAAAGGTTTTTCCACCAGCTAACACTTGCTTTTATTCTAATTCTCACAATTAGTCCTAAATTCCACACTACTCATTAAACTGTGAGCAATGCAATCAACATGCATAATATACGAAACATTTCTATAAATGAATAAGGCAACAAATAGACAAGTGTTGACAAAACGAACCAAAAATTTATACAACAGAAAAAAAAACAGAAAGCTAAATATAGGATCATTAATCCAAGCTAAATATAGATCCTTAATGATCAGAAAAATATATATTAAAATGAGCTACTATTTCATACTTACCATAGGAGCAAATATTAAAATTTCTGACAAAACTAAACACTTTGGAGAATGATTTAGAAATACTGGCAAAACATATTATGGGGATTCCCTAAAACTTACCAATTTCACATGAAGAAGGACATCAGAAGAATTCTTAAATGTGAACATGGGAAGGGGCACATGTAATATCCTTTGATCTAGAGAATTACGATACAAATATATATTTAGCTCAAGGAACAGACACTTTGCAATTGGTCATTCAGTAGGAGGAAGAGAAAGTATCGGTTGCCGACTGTGACTATGGTCACAGTGCTTCTTAGTGCTTCTTTTTCCCAGTGATCTCTATCTTCAGAAATCATGACTTTGTGTATCTCTGGCCCTTGTGCATGGGCTTGATTTAAGGGCTTTTTTCTAATGAATAGATTATAGTAGAGGTAAAAGAATGTCACTTGCAAGGTTAGTGGACAAAGTGTGGCTTCGATCCTGGGAAACCTGACACTGAGAGATGAGCTTCTCTATGACAAGAATCTGACATACCCAGCCAACAACCAACAAAACCCTGAGACCGGCCAATAACCATACAGGTGAGTCTGGATGTACCTCCTCCCTTAGGTAGTTGTGCCTTGAAATGATTGTAGCCCCGACACTGTAGAAATATGAAACACTGCACTAGGGGTGTGCAAGTCATACTCAATTTCCTGACCCACACAATAGAGGTTTAAAGCCTCTGAGTTTGGGGTAATTTGTAAAATGGTAAGACAAAATATGCTCTCTGATAAACATTGCAACCTATGATGGTAAACAAGTTCACATTTTCAGATCAATAAGGACCGTGAATTACATAAAGTCAACTAATAATTCATTAATTCACTCTAATAGAGAAGTCTAATATACCAGGGCCTGTTCAAAAGACAGAATCATAAAAAGCGCTCCCAAACCTATGCTTTCATACAGTTCACACACAAAACAATAAAAGACAAGTGAAGTCCATCATATGTCAGGTAATGATAAGCACAGAAGAGGAAAATAAGATAAAGAAGATAGAAAAAGCTAGTCCAAAAGAGAGGTTGCAATTTTTAAAAAGTAGTCAAAGGCTTTCTCTGAAAAGATCATTTATGAACAAACCCCCAAAAAGTGTGAGGCAGTGAGTCATAAAGAAGCTGGAGAAGCGCATCTCACACACAAAGAAGTGCCAATGGAAACTTCTTGATGCCGGAGGTAAAAACCAATCTGGGTAGCATCTACAGGGCTCTCGCTCCTTTCTGTGCACTTCAGCTTTACCTCTGGAAACAGGAAGTCACCGGGTTTTGAAAAGAGAAGGAGCATCACTAGACAATTTTTGAAGTGATCGCTCTGGCTGCTAGGCTGCCAGACACTGTGGTGTCAGAGTTGTGGTAGGCATGATTGGGGGATAGCAATGAAAGAAACAAGGACACGATTCAGCCAACCTGCACAATAATTCCAGTGAGTGTGCACCTATGAGTGATTCAGACCAGGTAGAGAAGGAAGGATGTAAAAACGGTCAGCTCTTGAAAATATTTACAGAGAATATACTATAAGATTTGCCAGCCAATTACATTAATTCACAAGGCATGTGTGTGTGTGGGTGTGTGTGTTGATGGATACTTAGGGTGAGTCAAAACCAGACTTTATTAATTCTACTTTCAAATATTTGTTATTCATAATCCCCTACAATCTATGTCCACTACTTTTGGGCCTAAAATTAGTATTTGCAACAACTGTCATATATGATTTCAAATATATTTTATTTCTTCAGTTATGCTATTTTTAAATGAGCAGTAAGTAGAACGTGTACATAACAAGTTGGGTTTTAAACAATTCTGTATTATAGTAGTAGGGATAATTATTTATTTTTCCACTCTTTTGGGGTGACGTGGCCAACAGGAGATGGGTTCCATGCTATTCCCATCTTAGTAGTTAAAAACAACCATGTAACAACACAGAAAATGGCTCCACCAGCCAGCACGGTGTTGCCATATTTGTCATGGAAATTTGGTGAGTGTTTCATATGGGTTTGTCTTGTTGCCATACGTTGAATGGTTTGCCTCTTGAGACCATTAAGCAGCACCCATTTGGCCAAGGGGAACATCATGAAGGCTTGATGGGATTGGAGTTGATTGTAGCTATTCTATTTTGTTGCTCTCAGGTCTGGGAAAACAAAAATGGCAATGTCATCAAATCTGCATTTAGTTTCTCCCTTTCAAATGTTTTACTCTTACTATCCTCTGAGTTTTGATATCACGGCAATTAGCTTTACCACTGGTTACTTTTACGAACTTACGCAGCTACTTAACTCTTCTTCACCTCAATGTGAAACTGAGATAATAATGTTCAACCCAGAGGAGTGTTATGAAGATTACATGTGATAACCTAAACCAAAAGCAATAAAGTAAAATATACAGTAGGTGTTAGTTTTAGTGTTCATCACAAATACCCAATGGTTTGGCCTGGAGATAAACTCCAATTACATCAGCCTGCTTAAAATGCCTATGAAACATTCTCAACTTGTTCACTAGTCTAACACCCACTTTCTATCAACTATAAACTTTTTTAGGGGGTGGGGGAGATTGTTTGAAACAAGGCTAGGCTGGCCCTGAACTCTGTATGCAGCCAAGGCTGGTCTGGAACTCCCAGCAATCCTCCTGCCTCATCCTCCCAAGTGCTGGGATTATAGGTGGGCACCACTATACCTGGCTTAATATAAACTTTTGAGTTTCAGTTGCAATTATAAATCAGTCACAGGGTATGTCACTCCTGCATCCTGCTTTAAGCTTTTATTTCTCCCCTCCCTTCTTCTTCTGGCCTTCGTCTTCCTGGCAAAATTCAACCTGCCTCAAATCCCAGCCTGAGAGTCACCACCCCTCTGAAAGCCTTCCCAAACTTTCCTAGGCTAAATAAGTGCCCTGGGCTTTCAGGTATCACACTCAATTAAAGAAAAGTTATAAAAGGTGCAGTAGCCCAGAGACACAGGGGCTTATTCCACTTAGGAGAGTTTCTAATACAGTTTTGTTTCATAAAAAAATCTGAGCAGAAAGTACACAGTTCCAAAACACCTTCTCACTCCATATAGCCACAGCTTCCTAGATACCAGAATGGTACATTTCTTTCTTTTTTTTTTTTTTTTTTTGGTACTAGCGTTCGAACTCAGTACCTTACACTTGTGAGGCAGGCAGTGGAACCCCTGAGCTAAATCCTGGACCCAGAATGGTACATTTCCTATAACTGATGGACGTATACCTTTGTCATTATCACCCAAACTGCCACTTCATATTAGGCTTCACTCTGAATGGATATTCTTTGGATTTTGGCAGATATATAGTGCCATGTATTTACCATTAAAATATTGTACAGAATAGTTTCACTGCCCTGAAAAAGCTGCCCTGCTTCTGCCTATTCATCCTTTGTTGAACACTAACTCCTGTCAATCACTGGTCTTTATAATGAAATCACACTTTTGCTCTTTTCCAGAATGTCATATTGTTGGAATTACACATGAGCATTTTCAGATTGGCTTCTTTCATTTATTGCTATGCATGTAAGTTTCCTCCATATCTTTTCAGAGCTTGCTAGCTTATATCTTTTTAGTGATGAATAATATTCCATTGTCTAGACATACAACATTTTATTTCTCCATTCTCTCACTGAAGAACACCTTGGTTGTTTCCAAGTTTTGGCAATCATGAGAAAACATGCTAAACATCCGTATGCAGTTTTTTTTTTAATGTGTGTGTGTGGCCATTTATTTTCAACAAATTCAGATAAAAATCAAGGACTATGACTGCTGGATCATAAGGTAACACTATGTTTAGTTTACATGGAGCTCTCTAAGGCTGCTTGTCAAAGTGCTTGTGCTAGTTTATATTACCCTCGCTGCAACAAATAAAAGCTCCTGTTTTTCTGCATCTTTTCGGATTAAGAGTTAATGTTTTGAATTTTGCCTTTCTAACAGGTGTATCGGTTGTTTAACTTGCAAGTCCCTAATTGACTTATTATAATAAGCATCTTTTCACATGTTTATTTGCCATCTTTCTATTCTCCTTGGTGGGTGTCTGTTTCAAATCTTTTATCCATTTCTTCAGCAAGTGACTTTTCTTTACTTATTGCTGGAATTTAATATTTCTTTGTATATATTAAATAACAATCCTTTATCTCTTAAGTCTTTTGTAAATATTTTCTCATAATCTAAGGCTTGCTTTGTCATTCTCTTAAGAAATTATCTTTTTTATTCTCTTCCAATAGCAAAAATAGAAATTTCCATATAAAGTAGATTGACACAGAAGCATAGAGAGGATTTTGAAACAATCCAAAATGTAAATGAAGATGAAAATTTTAATTAGAAGCTAAAATAACCACCAAGAACAAGTCAAACTAAATCAGATGCACACTTCTTAATAGTTCCAATGATTTTACTTCTTAGGTAGTTACAAAAAAAAAAAAAAGAAATCTAGAATCAGAAAAAACCTAAAGAATTTTTGCTTTCCTTTTTTTTTGGGGGGGTGCAATCTGTCAAACAATGTCAAGGCCTTTAGCATTGACATATGTTAACTATGGCCTAAATATAGGCAACACACAAGCTCGCACGCACATAAAAGGGCCTGAGGTTAGTACTTGCAGATTTGTAACTGTTCATTGAGATTTGCTCTTTCAAACTTAGAAACAAGACCTTAAGATTCTATCTCTTGCCTTATGCTAACTAGTACTGTTCCAGAGTGACTAGAAAGGCAAAGCAGAGCCAACTTAATTACTCCTGAAGTCCCAAACAGTCAAAATCCTTTCTTGTTCGTTATAAATATCCCCACCAGAAGACATCAAAGTTTGCATATGAATTGAAGTCAGGGTAATCTGAAAATGAAATGTGTTAGAGTGTGATAGTACAGCCTTAATCCAACACAAAGCACCTATGCAACACACTACTTTCAATCTTTAAGAAGGCATATAAGCGGAGAATAACTTGTGAGCCCTGACTTCTTCAGTGGGACTTCGATGTAGGAGTACTGCTTTATGAAAAATTGCTTTCATTACGCCTGTCCTCAAAATGCTAAGTTGAAATTCTTTGCATATAGTGACATTGTGTCCCACAGATGCTTAGTTCGTCCTTTTATACCTTCTATAGTCCCATATCTTTGAAGCTTTTTTCCCCATCTAACCCTGAATTTTCTTGTAACAATATGCATCTACTAAGAATATTCCTCTAGGAACTCCTTGTGTAGTTTGTAGTTAGCATTTCATCCTATAGCAAAAAGCTAAAGTAATCTCACTTCACGTTTTGTTTTCCCTGTTGGCAACAACTAAAATTGTCTCAACGGCCTTCACATTTACCTTGTATCCACCTTTGAAACACAAACTACTTAATACCACATGACCCAATTCTATAATAAATATTGCATGACCAGTAAATCCTAACCTTATTATTGAAAGAACTAAAGCTATAGGTTCTAATACCCATAGAAAGTATAAAAAAGAACAATTCAGTAATATAATACAGATAAAGTAAATGTTTCTCAAAGAGGTTGTTTTCTGATAAAAATTGAATACAAAGAGATAGAAGATGACAGATACTTTTCTAGATAATAAGAACAAAGTAAACTTTCCCTCATGTCTGGGGGAATAAAATAAAAAAAAATTCTGAATAATATGAATAATTAAAAGGAGTGCAGTATCCTGTGATGATAAAAAGGAAACACTGATTGTATTACCTATTGTATAAACTGATGTTCAAGTTCAGTTCAGGAAAAAATAGCTAATACTGGACCTCAGTTGAACTGCAGGAAGAAAGTATACAATGTGCCCAGACACTGTGTTAGAAATTCGCATATCTGACATTTTGATATAGAAAGCTGATTATTTATCTCCATTTTACACACAAGAACAAATAACAGTACAGGATGTGAACACAAGTCCTATGATTTAAATATACTTAAGTACACCATGACTTCCTAGAGTATATTCAATTCAAACTTAACATTAGTGTTACTGCCTCTTATGATTTATATGTACATGTCTCCCCAAAGCCTCGAACATTCATGGGTAGAGCTTTTGGCTGGATTATGGATGTATGAGATTGGATTATGGGTGCGTGATAACTGGATTAGTCCATGGATTGGTTTAGGATGATTCTGGGTATGGATAATGAGACAGCCCACCTTGGATGGAGGTTTCACCAACCAATGGGCTTGTGGCCTGAATGGAATAAAAAGGGAAAGAGAGGCTAGGTGATTCCTGCTTCCTGCCTGCCATGCCATGAACTATTTCTTCTCTGCCATGCCCCTCTGCCATACTAGCCTGCCTTGGAACCAGCCTACTGTGGACTGAAACCTCTACAAACAGTAGACTGAAACATGTACAAACTGTAAGCTAACATAAACCTTTCTTGTGTTAACTTGCAGTGCTGGGTATTTTGTCTCAGTAATAGGTAAGTAACTAAGACACTACTAGTGATGATCCTATAATTAAAATGTCTTTCTATAGCCATTTCTGTATTCACTCTGTGTCAGGGTCTGGACTTGGTGCCATGGTATAGCGCTTTCTCTCAACAAGCTTATGCTATACTAAAAGAATGAACAGTTATTTAGCTCTAAGGAAGGGGACAGTTTAGAGATGAGCACAGAGTGCCTTTAGTTGGAACAGAAGGCGAATGTTTCAATCTGGAGTGCTAGGGATTGTTTTAGATGAGATTCTAGGCTAGAACTTTGAAAGATGATACAGAAACAAATAAAAAGCTGAGAGAAAACATTTAGATTAAGCAGTAAAAGCATAAGCACAGGATGGTGAATAGCATAGGGACAGAGCAAACTAGCAAGCAAAATGCCACCAGGTAATTAGCACTGAAGCAACAAATGCCCAATAGAAGAGACAGAAGAACAGCACACTGTGAACATTATGAGCCTTGCTAAGGCATTTAGACTCAATTCTATATGTCCATGATTCCCATTATTGAGCCAAACCTCAAAATCACAGTCTTTGTTGTGAACTGAGATATTTTAATTCTGAATTTTTTCTTTCATGATAACATACAAGTGTACGAACATAATATGAGACCTGGAGAACGTTGCTTAACAATTTTTAGTACTGCTGTTTACCATGCATGTGACAATTTCTTGTTTTCGGTTAATGCAAAACAATCTAAACAACTTTTATATTTAATATAT